GTCTGCTTATGCTAGGAACCGATAGTCATACGCCCAATGCAGGAGGTTTAGGCGCGATCGCCATCGGAGTCGGTGGAGCAGACGCTGTAGATGCCATGGCCAACATTCCTTGGGAGCTGAAGACCCCTGAAGTCATTGGTGTCAAGCTTACAGGACAGTTGAACGGATGGACGTCGCCCAAGGATGTTATTCTTCATCTGGTTGGCAAATTGACGGTCCGCGTAAGTACATTTTTCTTTTTTTTTTTACAAGAGTATCATCGGTATGGAACCGCTGGCTGACGGTACAATCAACGCTATCCACCTACTTAGGGCGGCACTGGACATATCATCGAGTACTTTGGGCCAGGCATTGAAACGCTGTCCTGCACTGGTATGGGCACGATCTGCAACATGGGCGCTGAAGTCGGCGCCACTACATCCCTCTTCCCATTTGTCAACAGCATGTCATCGTACCTGCATGCAACCGGCCGCGGCCCTGTCGCGGAAGCTGCACGCCAGCATGCTCAGTTCTTGAGAGCCGACGAGGGCGCAGTGTACGACAAGGTGATTGAGATCAACCTGTCGACATTGGAGCCTCATATCAATGGCCCATTCACTCCTGATTTGGCGACGCCTCTTTCCAAGTTTGCAGACGTTGTCAAAAAGAACGGCTGGAAGGACGAGGTCAAAGTCGGTCTTATTGGAAGCTGCACCAACAGCAGCTATGAGGACATGGATCGTGTGACCAGCTTGGCAAAGCAGGCTGTTGGAAAGGGGATCAAGTCGAAGGCGGGATTCTTCATTACTCCTGGATCAGAACAGATCAGAGCGACGATCGAAAAAGACGGTCAGACAGCGGTCCTTGAAAAAGTTGGAGGTATTGTCCTTGCAAATGCATGCGGGCCATGCATTGGTCAGGTAAGTCAACCCACTCCTACGGATAGTAGCTTTCAGTGCTTTTATGACAGGGGACTGACTGTTCCCTGCCTATTTATTCTCACTCTCTCACATGCACAGTGGACTCGCGATGACCTGAACGACAAGGAGGAAAATGCAATTTTAACCTCATTCAACCGTAACTTCAAAAACCGTAACGATGGCAACGCCACGACTATGAACTTTTTGACATCGCCTGAGGTAAGCCTGGTCGCGTATTTTTAAAGCTGTAGGGCAAAGTTCCTTCTCTTTCTGAATGCTGACAGTTGCTCTGTCTGCTTATTTTGTGTATCTAGTTGGTGACAGCCATGTCCCTCTCTGGCAAACTGACCTTTAACCCCATGACAGATCCCCTTGTGGATGCGTCTGGCAAGGAATTTATGCTTCAGCCTCCCTATGGTGACAATTTACCCAAGAATGGATTTATCTCGGGCAACTTATCCTATACACCGCCCGATGTCAGCCAACCTAATTCCTCTATTCAGATTGATGTGGATCCCAAATCCACACGTCTTCAGGTCCTGGAACCGTTTGGTCCAGGGCCTGAGGGAGAATTCAAGGACTTGCAGGTGTTGCTGAAGGTCAAGGGCAAGTGCACCACGGACCACATCAGTGCTGCAGGGCCTTGGTTGAAGTACAAGGGACACTTGGAGAATATTTCGCACAACACTCTCAATGGTGCGCTGAACGCGGATAACGACAAGATCAACGTTGTCAAGAACGTGTTCACAGGCAAAGAAGGCGCCATTCATGAGGTCGGTCGTGACTATCAGGAGCTGGGCAAACCATGGGTCGTTGTCACTGATGTAAGGACTTTAGAAAAAGAAGGGGAAAAAAAAATTCAAGGCACAACTAAGAGAAGCAAATCAGCAAGTAACTAATCATGGCACTTTTTTTTTTATACTGGCATTCGCACTGCTTAGCATAACTATGGTGAAGGTTCAGCGCGCGAACATGCAGCTCTTCAGATGCGGTATTTGGGATGCCCAATGATCTTGGCTCGCTCGTTTGCACGCATCCATCAGACAAATCTAAAGAAGCAAGGTGTGCTCCCCCTGACGTTCGCAGACCCTGCAGACTGGGACAAGATGCACGGAGGTGATGTGATCGAGTCAACTGTAGGAGTGGCAGATCTTGTTGCAGGTCGTCCTGGGAAGAATGACACGCCTGAAGGCGGTGAGATCACGCTGATTGTGCGTCGCCCTAGCGGCGACAAGTACGAGATTAAAGCACTGCATACTATGAGCAAGGATCAAGTCGAATGGTTCAAGAAAGGAAGCGCCCTCAATGCCGCACGCGGCTAAGTCTAGGATGACCGTAGCATGAATAAGATACACATAGAACGTAATGGCATATTTTCATAATTGACACACATTGACAGCCGAATGATACGTGCAACATAGATCAATCGCGAATCTTGCTTCCAAACTGCTTCGACTCCGCAGCTCTAGGTGCGGACGCGTAGGCAATGTACTCTTGGCATTCGGCGACTGTTCACTACGCGCTCAATGGTGATCCATCTTCGAAAAATGTCGCATGTCGACGCTGCATGCCAAAACGATAATCTTCAGCACGAAGATGCGATACGATCAATGAAGATAATGAGCTGATGAGTAGCTAGTCGATGGATGAATAAATTCTCACACCCATGCAGCAAGATAATCTTTGAGGATATCCTTTCCCCATGTAAGCATGAGGGCCACTCCACCACGAACTGCAACCAGAACATGCCGTAGCCGTGTATCTGCCTTCCTTATTCCTCAGAACCCACTGCTCTGTCGTTATGTATTCGACATTACATTCCGCATTCCTCAGAGCCCCACTTCTCTGTTCCTTATTCTCAAGCAATATGACAGCAAACGTTGATAGTGGAAACGACAATGAATATCATGTATTCCGCAATAAAACTAGACTATCACCTTGTCTCTGCCCTTGACCATTATTTTAGACAAAATCTAGCCCCCCAGGCAGTATTTTTTTTTTTTTTTGCACAAGTCTTAAAAGATGTCCGATGTAAGATGCTGCTCTCGAAACCACAGCAGCAGCAATCTCACCCTCGACATCACCAATCTCAGACTTATCAGTCTGGCAAAAAGTAGCCTCGATTAGTCACTTCATCAGGCTATCCACGCCGTCGGATATCTTGCGCATAGTATCCTCAATGATCCTGTCCATAGCTGCCAGCGACCTCATCAACTCTGCACATTTGAGCTGGCAAGTTGATGCGCACCTATTTTTGAACTGCGACCGCCAACGCCGTGCACGTTGGTTTCTCCGATCCGACACATAGTCGACCACCAACGTAATCCCGCTCCTGGCTGAAAAGATGCATACAGGACTTGACGTTGTCGCAAAAAGGGCTTAACTGGTTTCGAGCGGGATTTGAGCGTTACGAGGATAGCACACAATCACGAACTGAGCTTCCTCGCATAGCATGTCGGCGGAGCGTAGGTCCGCTTCTCGATGAGAATAATACGGCGAGGCTAGTAGCTTCGGGTACCGGCTCAATAACCGACTCCAGGGATATTAGTGGATCGACTCAAGCCATTTCCTGAATTCTACGTTATAAACCGAGCTCGTTTTCCGGACGGATCCCGGCTTGGCAGTAGGCATGTTTCCCAACATCGTCTGGCTGAACAACTTCTGATTGGAAGGGTATGCACGCGACAAGAGGCGTAGAGAGATGGACTGGTCGTTTGCTTACAAGCCGGACAGATCGGTGTGCTGGAAGATCGATTATGTATGGGGGGAGGGCGGAGGGGGGGGGGGGGGGGGACAATGAGAATGGAAGAAGGAGGGCATAGCGTTGCAGTTCATTTACTGACTGACTTGTTCTGCGCTAATGACATATCGCACTTTTTTTCTGAACTGATGAACTAATTACATATCGCACTTTTTTTTTCTGCTCTGGCGACCCTCCATATCCATCAGAATGTCGCGTACATCACAGCATCTCTCGGCATGTGGGTAAATGGATGCTTACGCCAAAGACGAAGCTACTGTACACTTCTCCGCCTGTACAACCCATGTTGCATCTTGTCCTTCGTTGCCTGTAGACTGCAAAAAGCACATTTATTTTTTAAAGTCGCCCTGAGTTTTTTTTACCTTTGCAGCTTCACATGGGCTTGATGTGACCTTCCCATCGCGCAGCAATTTGTTCCGCGAGTATATCGTACCACATTCATTACCATGCATAGTCCATCTGCTCCGAAAAGTCTAGTTTCGAGCAACTCACTACTAATCCCCTGTAAACTGTGTCAACCCCTTCTAAATGTCCTGTCAAGTCATGGAAGGTCTTCAAGTAACACGGTGCATTAAGGGATTCATAGTGGCCTCCCTTCGTCTCTGCTGCTTATAGCCGCCACAATTTCTTTAGACGAACTGGTCTTTCGCACTACATAGGTGCAGGCAAATGAGAGTAGTATCATAGCCTGTCGTCTTGACGCGTCAAAATGAAGAAGAAAAAAAAAAAAAAAAAAAAAAAGAAAGCATGATACACCACACATTAATGACTCACTATATCCACCTTGCTCTTTTATCTCCAGTATGCAATGGTCTCTCCCATTGATCCTTCTGTTCCTCGCGAGAATGATTGCTACCGTCTGCTTTTCGTTCTGTCTGTCCAACTGCCGCGCGTTTAGCAGTGAAGGAGAAAAAAAAATAAAAAAAAAAAAAAAAAAGTTGCCTGTCATTTTTCTCCCCTTCTTAACAACGATGATCATGGCAAACATAAAATAGAAGAGGACTAGGGGGCAGTGATCCGTCGAATCTATTCATCGCAAGAAGTGGCAGACAAAGGTAGAGAACCAAAAAAAAAAAAAAAAAAAAGCACCAAGAACAATAGGGTTATCGTCTGCCTTCTACTACAATATTAGCCAAAAAGAAAAGAGGAAAGAATTGTGTTGTCACTCGTTCTTCAGCTTACTCCTCACACTTGGCAGCTCCTAACAAAGTAAAAGACCTATAGTCTCCACTCTCTGGCGACAAAAAAAACCGCCTTCCCATAAGAATAAGCGCCTCACGGGGATGTAAGGCAGAATAATCTCACAGGGAAAAAAATATACTTCCTGAGGGAAACAAAAGTGCTCAAACCAGGGTTCGAACCTGGGACCTTGTCTTAGTGAGAGACATGTGATAACCAACTACACCATTTGAGCTGTCTTTATGGGTTAGTTATTTTCAATAATATATATCGACATTTTCAGAGCCATGCACGCACGTGACTTCGTATCTTTTTCTTCAGCGTTTCCTCTTTAAAAAAAAAAGGGTTAATCGCGGCATCATTGCTATCGCTCGCGTTCTTCAAAAAACGACAAGGATGATGAGGAGAGTAATATGAATCTTTATTGGGGTGGGATGTATTCTTTTTGTTTTTGTTGACATAATCCTTGTTGCTACAGAAAGACGCAACTCGGATCAAGTTGACAGGGGTTGGAGAGTAAAGAGGAAGGAGAGGTTTTTTACAAGGGCAGCTCGAAGCTGACGTTGAGCTTGGCCTCACGAGCCATGTTGACCATCTTGCTTAGCTTGACGGATTTGCTGGCAGCATCATCCAAGTCATCCGAGGTGATGATACGAAGGCCTGACTCGGCAATCAACTTCTTGGCTTCGTCGACCTCAGTGCCCTGAAGACGAACAACAAGAGGAATCTGGAGCTGGAGAGTCGAGGCGGCGGCAATGATACCCTGGGCAATCACACGGCACGACATGATACCTCCGAAAATGTTGGTAAAGATAGTCGTAACGCGGGGATCCGAGGAGATGATCTTAAAGGCCTCAGTAACCTGATCAGCAGTGGCTCCACCGCCGACATCCAAGAAGTTGGCGGGCTCACCACCGTGCAACTTGATGATATCCATGGTCGACATGGCCAAACCGGCTCCGTTGACGAGGCATCCGATCGATCCATCCAATCCAATATAGTTGAGGTTGTACTTGGCAGCAGCGACCTCACGAGAATCCTCCTGCGAGACATCACGAAGACTGTGGACTTCCTTCTGGCGGAACTCAGCGTTGTCATCAAAGTTGATCTTGGCATCCATGCAGATGACTAGTGGATGGGGAGATGGTGCAATACGCGCGTTAGTTTGTGCTGGTTCACTAGTAGAACATTGGCAATAAATAAAATAAAAAACCTACCCTCGTGGTCAGAGGACTCGGCCATGGGGTTGATCTCAACCATTGTGGCATCCTTCTGCATGAAGAGATCATAGAGGTTGATCATGGTATCGGTGGCCTGGTCAACACACTTGGGCGTGAATCCCATGCGCTCGGCGAGATCACGGACAGCAGCACGGTCGACACCGCTGTTGATATCGATGGGGAGTTGGAGGATAGCCTCGGGATTCTCGGCAGCAACGGATTCAATATCGACACCTCCCTGGGACGAAGCAACCATGATGGGGCCCTGGGACTTGCGGTCCATCAGGATGGCAAAGTAGTACTCGCGACGGACGTACTTGCGCTCGCAAATGTAGACAGCGTTGCAGATCTTGCCAGCAGCACCAGTCTGCTTGGTGACAAGCTTGTGACCCAACATCTGATCAGCGAACATCTTAGCTTCCGTAGGACTAGTAGAAATAGGACGAGAGAAACGGGGTTAGTCAGAGGTGGAGTCGCAATACTGCAGATCGTGTGGAAATATGTGGACCGGTAAATCGACCATGGATGGAGCAACAAAACTTACGAAAAAATAGTGCGGACACCGCCCTTCAGACCAGAATCGAAGGTACCCTTGCCACGACCACCAGCCAAAACCTGAGCCTTGATAACCATATCCTCGATTCCTATTTGAGTCAGTCGATATAAAACAGCAAGTCAGGACATGAATATGAAGTTGATTGTCTCATGGTTTCCCCACGGATCGATCTCATATGCACTATGAACAAGCAACAACACACAACGCCGTCTCTTCCACTGTCGTCGATCGGGATGTGATCCATGACTATCAGGCGTCCTCATCCAAGCGTTCATCCATTGACGGATGATAACGGCATAAAACAGTACACTCGTTCAACAAAAGAAAAAAAAGCGAAAATCGAAGCCCCTTACCGAGGTTCTCAGCGACCTTGTAAGCCTCAGCACCAGACTTGGCAACACCACCGCGGGGAGTCTTGATTCCCTGCTTCTGGAGAAGATCCATAGACATGTACTCGTGGATAGACAAGAAGCGCTTCTGCTGCTGAGCAACAGGGTTCATGCGGGGCTAGTGGTCATCATTAGGGCAGGTCAATATCGATAGTATATCAAAAGTACTGGAGCTGGTAACCGCGTACATGCTCTTAGTGTGTTTTTGTGCACACTCAACAACACAACAAGGTTGGGCAAGATGGGGTAGGAATGACAAATAAAGACATTCGTGGGGATCAGGGTCATTGATCAAGAGCAATCAGGTAACAGGCAGAGGAATCCTCAATAGACCACCATTGACACCTTGACAATGGTGTATCCCGCCCTTTCACTGTGTCTGAGGATAACACGCTCTGCTCTGCTCATCAGTGAGAGCATGGTACCCCCAGCAAAAAAATCAAAAAAATAATAATAATAAATATTGTGTCTCCGTCGGAAGCAGCCTGGTCGGGAAGTGCAGATGGCGTGTTGGAGTGAGAAAACAGACGTGCACAACAACAATAAGCCCTGTAAAGCTCTGCTGACAGAGAGCTGCATTGGGACGATGCGTAACGTCGCCGATGGTTATGTAACATGTCACGTCGATCGACAGCGTAGGTGTTTCTGTTTTCCTGTTCACTTGTGTGTCGCTTCAGGTACGGGCTGACAAGTGCCACGACTATGGTCCGGTTGAGGAAGTTTTGCAGAAGACAACATGAGTTCCTTACCATGGCCTTGGCCATAGCCGAGGCAGATCGGATAGTGCGGAACATAGTGAGGATGATGAGAGAGTGGGGAGGATGGATGTTGAGGTTGAAATTCGCTTGCCGTCAAGAGAAGTAAACAGCGCAGGAAACACTCATCTTTTCTGTACGTCTTTCTTCCTGCATCCGGCGTACGTAGACGAGTGGGGAATGAGCGTGCAATTATGGAAAACATAAACAAAGGCATGTCGCCGGGAGGAGTCATCGTAACCGTTAGCAGAGCAATTCTCCTCCGTCAACCCATCCTTCTTCTCTCACTCTCCTCGCGACCGGATCTCATTTCCTTACTGCTCCGCATCTTCCTTTTCTTTTTACATACATTTCAATCAACAAACATGGCTGGCGGTATGTTGACATGGCATTATCACGCTTGCCACAACGCATTGTGCCTGAACACAGGCGCAACCGGACGCCATCTCCGAATACAACCCGTTGACCATTTCTTTCCTTGTCCTTCAAATTTACCTTAGGCAAATGGATGGGCTGGTGGGGACACTTGGGCGCTCCTAAGCAGCGCGGTATCGCTGTCTACTCCCTCTCTCCCTATGAACAGCGTGCCTTCGCCGGCGCCCTTCATCAGGCTGTCTTCAACACCTTCCGCCGCGTCAAAGGTCAGGCCTTCTACATTGCCATTCCCATGGGCCTTGCCTATGCTACCTACTCCTGGGGCAAGAAGAACCACGGTACGTCCTTCAAAAAGATGTCTATTAATACAGTGGAGAGACGTTAGACTGGCGCAGCTTTTGATATACACCAACTACCTCGAAGTGCATGCATGAAACGCTGGGAGAGCGGCATATAGCACGACCGACGTCGTAAACGACGGCTATATGAAAGAAATACATCGTCAGGGTGCACCATCTCCTTCCTCTTCTCGACAAGGGAATACTAACTATCACACAATCATCTCTTGCTTTTTATAGAGTGGAGACTCAGTAAGGAAGGCCATGCTCACTACGGTGGTGAACATTAAAGCAGCATAATAGTATCGAGATAAAGCAACCTGGACGACGCAACGATAGAGAATTTTTGTCAATAAATCTGACGCTACAGAACAGTCTCGCATGGAAAATGGTTGCATACAGGATGCAATACGCGCAGGATAACGGCGACATGTTTACAACCAAGTCTAAGCGCGATCTATCTTTACTGTTTCGCTACACAATGCGATACATTACATAGTACCGACGATTGCACCACTCTCGACACTCTCCTCTGTGTACTCGATCGCCTTGGCCTCCTTGAAACCGCACTCGCGGATCAAATACATGCATCGCGCCATGTCCAATAACTTCTTGCATCGCTTTCCTAGTACTCTTCGCTGATCCCTCGTTAACGCAGCGTCATTGGTCTCGTTTGCGATAGACGTTGCATCTTTTCCAGGTCTTGCAACCAAGCAGCTCTCCTCTTCTCTACCCAATGTCGCCCACCCGGTCAACTTAATTATCCACGGGATCCACTTGTCCAGCTGTTCTACAGAGATACCGTGTTGCTGCTTGTCCAGACACTGCCCCATATCCTCACCATTTGATTCCACGTCATTGTTGATATCAAAATCCTTCTCTTGATTGCTTTCTGCCCTCTTTCGTTTTTTGATGTATGTCGCGCTCAAGAGTTCCCTCAAGTAAGGCGCTGCCACGAGAGAGGAGGGTTCGCAAATGCCATGACAACAGGTTGCGAAGCAAATGGAATATTGATCCTGTGATTCTGACGATGGGTTGTGTAGTAGCTGTCTCTGCTTACCCATCCAACTAAGAGCAAGGTCAGTAGCGGGCCCACAGAAATGCTTTGAGATGCAGATATAATGCGTCGGGATCTCGGTCGAGGACTCCTGTGGTTCCTTGTCACCACCACCCTCTATCCACTCCGGCCATGCAATACCAGGAATGACCTCATGAATGATCTGAATGTTGCCCACTCTCAAGTCGCGCACGTCTTTTGTGATCCGTAAGAGTCGGGGTTTCACAGGGCGAGCTTGAGTACGGATCATGTAGTCGACTTGATTTCGTGAACGAAACTTTTGTCTGTCCAGAAGAATAAAGTTGAGCGGTTTCGTCGACTTTTCCGTTTGTCCTGCAGCTGCGGCGTGGATCGAAGGCAAAGAGGAGGCGAGAACGGTCTCTAGAGCCATTTGTAAATGTCTGGAAAGTCCACCGGTTCCAGCGCCGAACTCGATAAAGACTGCTGTGCGCCCTATCTTCCTCCCTCCGGCTTTGCTACCCGCTTCTGGAGGCGCGCTCGCGTTGTCAGCTGTAGCATTGGCTTCAAGAACTGGTTTCAAAAGC